CCTTCCCTCCCGGCACCAGGCACCCGCTGCTGGGCAGGTCCCTCCCTTCCCTCCCGGCACCAGGACCCCACTGCTGGGCGGGACCCTCCCTTCCCTCCCTTCCCTCCCGGCACCAGGACCCCACTGCTACCAGCTGTGCGGAGTTTGCCTTTTTTTTTAAAGAGGTAGAGGCTCCATCAGTGAGAAAAACACTCAAACCCCAGCCTTTGGTTCAGTGATTTATTGTCTCTAGCACACAGCAGTACAGGGAGAGCTACAGTGACTGTTATGAGCACCAAGATACGTCAAAAACAAGCAAAAACGTTTTCATGAAATGTTTGTCTTGCTTACGGTAAACAGAACGACCCGTTTTTCCATGTAAACTCGGAAGTCAGGCAGGGGGAGAGTCGCTGCGAATTACATTTTAGCCTTGACTGCACTTTAAATCAACTCCGCTGGGTTCCTGCAGGACATCTGGCATCAGCCTGAGGTGCCCTGGCCACCCTACCAGCAGCTGAACCCCACAGGCTGGGCACATACACATCACCTCTTCTGTACAAATGCAGGCCCAAACCACCCAAATAACGATAGCATTAATTTGTTTGCCCACCTCTAGCACGGGCACTAAATAAGGCAGCTGTAACAGCATACAAAATTAAGGCCTGTACCACAATTGATGTACAGACAGAGAGAAAAACGGATACTTCAACTTCTCAGACAGAATAGCCAGGCACATTACAACCTACTGCAGAAAAAATAGACACATAAAGGGCTGCTTGGAGGCTCCGCTCCATCAGTGTGCCAAACCATCAGTATTTTCAATGTCAGTACATTGCAAATGAGGCAGATTCTACTTTATAAGGCTGACAAAACAAAACAACAACCCAATCTTTTGTCATCTTTCTCGTACAAGCTTACAGCAGGTTTCACTCTGTAGTCTTCTCTGTTACAAGTTTGGACAGCTGTCCATCATGGACATATCTCCATCTAAGATATGTCCATTAAAAATTAAAGAGCACTGAAGCAAACATGGGATGTGTTTGTGCCTTGCCGGCTGATCCATGTCTGCCCACATGCTCTAAAGGCAATTTATTTTTCACATCTTTACCTTAGCAGTGTGTTTTGATATGCAGATCTTTTAATGGCTATTGGTTGTATCATAAGCCAGTCAAGAACTGACTGAAACTTGTAGATCTATTACCATTATTTAGTCATTGATCTGAGCATCTCTTGGGCAACACTAGGCTATGTGCTTGCTTCCTATGTCCTAGCCAGCACATGGACAAGAGAAGCCCAGCTGAACTGACAGCTATTGAGGTTGTAGGCAAACAGAAACCACTGGTACAAAATTCAAGGTTAACTGAGCTCCTCCAAGTCTGAAATCCCTCATGACCAAAGATAAGGAACTTGCTCAACTTCTCTGACAGCTGAGAATGCAGGAGCTAAGGCAAAAGACCCACAGGCTAAAGCACCCTGAGTTTCTGGTGGGTTTACCAGACCACTGGTAAACACAGTGTCCAAGCCCTACAAAACCCACTGGGATTCAGCGAGGTTGTATCTCAGACACTGCAAACTATGATGAGATATTTGGAGGGAAGGAGGGGAGAAGTCTTACTGATTTTTTTTGCCCAGGGACACATCTTGTTCATGAAGAGCATTACAGGAGCAGAAACTGAGGCCACACATCAGCTCCAGACGTGACCAACACCACTACCCTAGCAAAGGCAAGACTCATTTAGACAGCTCAAGGTCAAACCCAACCATGCCAAAGGGTGGCACATTCAACTGTCATAAAGGGACATCAGGAAGAGATCTCCAGAGGAAAACCAGCCACATTTTAAGAGATGTGGAATGACACAGGACTGCCAAGACAGGATGTCAGTATAGGAAAGTGAAATAGCCAAGGCATGAAAAATTCCATTTTGACAGGATTAGTGTATGTGTGTCAGCATGGTGGCCAGCACGGTTGTTTTTGAATTTAACTGTTTTTCTAAAGAGGCAAGAAGCAATGTGCACATGCCAGAAATGAAACAGCTTTTGATGAGCCAAATATTAGGGTATACAAGCACTAGAGGCAGACAAAGGAAAGATGAAATGAAAAGACAGATGAAAGCAGCAGCATATTTTAGCTACAACAAAGGTAAGAAATGAAGGTAGCACAGGTAAGGGCAAAAAGTATCATAAGAGTTTAGACTGAAAAAATAGAAGTTACTTTCTCTTTTGAGACTTAAAATAAGCTAAGAGTTTAAAAGCATGGAAGATAAAGAAATAATGGGTATATGTATATACACACATTTTTCATCATACTCACAGACATTACAAATTCAAGCTTGGGAACACTGGACTGTAACTGCTGTAAGAGTAAAAAAAGCACAGGATGGATGATCAAGGAGATGCTATAAAATTGTAGCAGATAGCTACTGTACCATGGCACCACTCCTCTATTCAGAGGTGTGCTTTTAACAAAAGTCCAAAGGCTCAATTAAAAGGCAATAGCATAGATCAAAATACATACAAGATGTGAAGTGCTTGATGAAGGGAGGGAATGCACCTATGTTTTGTCACTGTTCTTGTTAGAGATGAAAGCCCAGCAACAGCACAGCTTTTAGCAATGGGACGTTAAGCTGGGAGGAGGACAATGCTCCCAGAGAAATCTGTTCTTTCTTCCAAACAACTACTCTCCAAGCAGAGATACACAGGTTGTGCAGATCTGAGGGAGCTTGTAAGATCCCACCTCAACTTGGTGCTCCCCTCAGGATGCATTAGCAGAGCTGAAGGAAGTACACACCCTTTTCTATCCTGACTTCAAAGAAGGAAAGGAATAGGACTTCTTCAATGTGGAAAGATCAAATCGTAATCTTGCTAATCTGAGTAAAAACCAAAGGAAAGGCTAATACTCCACTGGCTGTAGAAACTCCTGCAATCCCCATTTCTTAACTAGTAAAAAGCCAACAAAACCTTTCAATTAATTCCAAATATCTGTTTCTGAAGGGACACAAGACTTCTGACTTTCATGTTCTAACAAACCAACAAATACCAAACTGTTTTAATCTGTCAGACACAGTATTATCAAACACTTCTCTTTGTTCAAGCTTTTTAGTCAGCTGAGGATCTGAGGCAGTGGTAAAGCTGAATCAAAAATCAACTTTCTGGGTTTTTTTAAAGCTAGCTAGTAAAGACAGCAGAGTTTGTTCCTTACTTATTACATAAAATTTGTCTAATGTTCACCTATCCTGCAAATGCAGAATTTATTTTGCAATTGTCCTTTTCACCCTTCTCCTTCCTTCAGTTTCTTTCAGGGTAGTTAAATATTGAAACTGTAACCTCAAGCTGCATACTTACATATGCACTTATAATTATGCTTAACATGCTGCTTCCTTATACATTATGTTTAATAACTTTTGCTACTGTGAATCTTTCAGCTGTAGTTGTTGCAAAGAAAATAACTGTTTTGCAAGCACAGGTTTGTGTGCTATTACATTGAATCAGAAGTAGTCAGCTCTCCCACACTGCTAATTTCCCAGATTAAAACAACACTTTACTTAAGGATGCTGTCATAGTAAATGACTATTTGTCTCAGCCTGTAGCACTCCCCTCCTTGTTATCAAACAGATTTTAATACATCTTTGCCAGTTCAGACAGCATAAGTGGGACGGATGCAGCACATACAGCAGAGCTAGAGCTATGCTTTTACAATCTAATAGCTGTACTTCTGTTGCCAATTTGAGAAATGAAACACGTAAAACACTTGGTGCACACACTTGAAACAGGATTTCATGAGAATTTGTTTGGAGTAGAAACCAACTGGAATAAGAAAAAATCCACAAGCTACTGGGAGTGGAACCACCACAAAAATGATGGAGTGTACTCATCTGCCACTCCGTGTAAACCAGGTGGACACAGAAGAAATTAGTTTCTGCCAATAGAAACACATACTACACATTACATGTCATTTTCTTGTTTTAAACTGCTCACAGTGCTCTGTATCCACTGGTTTTGATTGTGCTAAAATAAAAACCACCGCCCTTTTATTTCTTTAAGTCAACAAAACACTGAAGTAAAAAAAATTACAAATAATTACATACAGTAAATAAATTTACTAAAAAAACAACCCTAACTTCTCAAACAATACTGCTTTTTAATAGGTTTGGCACTTCCACCACATTTTACTAAGTACAACTTTCCACAGTACCATATGCAAAGCTAAATCCTAAGTGAAAAAAACCCTAGTGTTCATTTCTAACTGGGGGAGAAGCGAGGGAGGGACACAACAAAGCACACCAGTAAAAACACCTAGTCTATACCAAACGTACCTCTCCTTTAGGGAATTTAGTAGAAAAAAACTACCACTTATAATTTAACACCAAGCTCTTCCTGGGAACCAGGATTATAGGTTTATGCTGAACACAATCTTATGTTCAAATACAGAGATAAGCAGCATTATCCCAAAACCCAAGAGAATTCCAGCATTCTGTAACAGGAAGTACCCCCAGCGGCTACATCCATGATCACTGGCATCATTGTGGAGCATTTCAGGCACCTAAACAAGCAAGAAAATGTTAAATACATTCAAAATAAGCAGTTACTTCAAACCCAGTTCTTCAACTATGAGGAGTCTTACTGCTCTAGTCTTTTCTGTTGACTGTATTAATACTACTCTTTGAATGAGGTGTCACTCAGCATGAATGGTGTTATCAGAATGTACTTTCATATTTAGAGAATCTGTGATGTTCTAATTACTGTTTTTGTTATAATTATGCTGATGTCTTAATCATATCCTGAATAAATGGTTGGTTTATTTACCAACTCAATCAAGTCACACCAAGAATTTTATTCTTAAAAGGACAGTTAAGTTTTAACAAACATTCACCAAATACTTTGAATTTCTGAGGTGCCTACTTCTGAGGTACAGTACAGGTTTTAATACAATTCTGCCTTCATCCTAAGAGGCAGTAACAAATGGAAGATGTCCCTGCCCACTGAAGGGGCTTAGAACTAGATAATCTTTAAGGTCCCTTCCAATCAAAACCTTTCTGATTCTATGTTTTGCTGCAAAAGTGGAAGCACATTTGGTGGTGCCAATAGCATGCAACTCGCAGCCTTACTAGCTGTTATATTAACCACTGTCAGAAGGAATATTTTCACTCTAACTGCCTGTGTTTAACAGCTAAGGGAGAAACAATCCCTGTTCCTACAACAGTCTAAATAAAAAGGCTTCCACCTTAACATTTAACGTCCAATTTAACATTTCCTTACACTGCACACTCATCAGTATCTTCAAATGCAGAAACAACCAAAAAAAAATAAAAATACAGAGGGAAAAGAAGTGGAAGAATTTGAGATCAAAATACACTTGGCATTAATTCTTAAACTGTATTACCTAACCCAAGTAAGTCTAGCCACTTACCATATCCACAAGAGCCACATACATGAACAAGCCAGCAGTAAGTGCAAATATCCACATTGAAACATTGTCTGCATAATGGCCGATAAGAATCCCGGTCATCATTCCAAGGTAGGCCAGCATAGCCGACAGAGCATTATAAAGCACAGCTTGCTTGACAGTCATACCAGCTTTTAGAAGTACAGCAAAATCTCCTGCCACAGGGAAAAGAAAAAACTAATTTTCATCCTCAGGTCATTTTTACAGTGTTCCCAAGGTATTCTCTTACTTAAAGGAGAACTAAGCTATTTTTATGCCGGCATCTGCCTTATGTTTTTTTCCTTCTGAAAATCAGAAATCTCTGGGCAACAGAAAATTGAGAAGTGCACATGAAGAACAACACAGCAACAAACACTGTGATAACCTCACAGGCTTAGGATTTTTGGAGGAAGCAGCTTTTAATGTAGTTTGTATTGAAACCAACATTGTAAAATACCTGATATGCATGAGTGTTCTAAACAAGTAATAAAACATTCCCACTTTATTGCATAAAGCAATACTGATAATTGCATTTATTATCCTGTTACTGTTCTTTTTCCTTTGTCTGTTTTAATTTAGAGTATTTATTAATTTCTCTGTAGGATCATTAACATCTTATTTTCCCTTGAAGGAATGATAGACTACCAACCAGAAAGGGGTTTTCCATCATTCAAAATAGTGGGGTTTTTTTGTTTAGATAAATTAGATCTGAATCAGAGTATAATTTTATAAATTTGAAATAAAATGGATTCTAGATAAAAATATTATCTCCAGTTAAAGTAAACAAAAGCCATCTTCAAAGCTGAGTTCAGTAATTTGTTACAGCAGCTGTTCCCAAAATATATTGCAATTAAAATGAACTGGTATGTCATAAACATTGTTTAGAATTCATAACAGAAGGATTCAATTTTATCTCCAGCTACCTTCATCTAGTCCCAATTGTTTCAATATTCCTACAGCACTTCATGACCTCGAGAACATATTTCTGTCAAGTTTTTTGAGCTGATTAGAGAATCACAATTTAAATTTTAGAGTATTTTTTTCCCTATCAAAGCCAACAGAAAATTTGAATCTAAAATTATCAGATTCATAACATGAATTTATTTTGCATATTTGCAGCAACAACATTTAGTATGTGTAGTTAATACAAGTTCTATGATTCCTGTGGAATCTATATTAAGATGAACAAGATTAAATTCCTTCCATGTCATAAAGCAAAGTACATTTTCTTCAGAGTAGCGTATTTCTGTACAACATTGTTGTACAGACAATTATATAGCAAACTGTTTAATAAATTGTTTGATGTATACACATACTGGTTTACAAGCCCTAGCAAATGAAATTGAACCTTCTACTTCCTAAGGAATTAAAGTGCAAGCAAACTGTTCTTTCCTCATTCAATACACCACATACAACTGTGGCAATGACAGCTAAGAAAGAATTACCAGTTACATATTCAAAATTATTTGACAATTAGAAAGATCAGCTTCATTCCAGGTTAAACCAAGCTGCACTGCAAAATGGCCAAATACTATATTTACAAGGTAAGACGTGCATTCCCATAATAGATTATGGTCATTAATTTAAATCAGTAGCGTTTGAAAAACAACCTCTCTCTAGTAAAGATTTTTAAATAGTTCCAAGTGTACAGCTACCGCAGATCTTTGCAAAGCTTAATGGAAAAGCAGCAAGTGTTATGCAGAAAGTAGTTCAGCTGATTGTGACCTCCCTTTCAACAGCACAAGTGCAAGACAAAGATGAGAAAAACAAATTCTGACACGTATTCCCCTGCAATTCACAGTTTATGTGGCTACAGAGAATTAGAACTTCAACTGAACTATACAGAGCCAGTTGTAAAAAACTGCAAGACTGAGTTAGAAACCCAGTAGCTAGAATACTGAGATTTTTAAAAGGAAGATGGATTAAATTAATAAAACATTCTTTGACTAAATCAGAAGTATTCTTGAGTAGACAACCTGAAAGAGATTAAGTTTTCTGATGAAACTTTGCTATGCCACAGAAGGAAGTCAGTTATTCTCCAAAGTGCACCTGGAAGTACCTAGGTAGCTGCAGCATATGGAGATATCAGGGTCTTACCTAGCTCATGAGGTAATTCATGGCAAAATACAGCCACAGAAGTGCTTAAACCACTAGATAACCCTTCAGTAAAGGCTGCTCCTATGAAGAGAAAAAAAACACACAACAACAAATTCAAAACATTATTGCATATTCAGACATCAACTTCAGGAATATTATTGTACTTGCTCATATCAGATTAGAACATACTAGTTTCACTCATTTTTCTTATGCTTGGGAAGAATTTAAACTTTAAATTAACAGTTGTTTATGCCTTTTAAGTTTCGAAATTAGAAGCAACATGGAATCCTCCAAAATAAATTTCACTACCTTATTTCTGAGCTAAGTTAAATACCTTTCAACAATACAACCCTCCCAAAAAATGGCAGTAAATGAAATACTGTCAGAAAATACACTTTTTTTTAAAGATACAAAGGCAAGAAAGCAGCTCAACTACTTCAAAATCAGAGACTGGAAAAGAGAAGCCAATTCAACAGTCAGAGAGGCTACATGGTCATGTGAGCAGGAGCAAAAGACAGTGAATTCTAGACAGCTTCCACATAAGTGAGTCATCATACTTTAAGTGGAAGAAAAAAAACCCAAAACAAAACACATACCCCCCTTAAAGTAGTCCAACAGTCCTCATCTTTTTTGTTTTCTCCACTCCTGTTGCTTGCTATTTTTCTTAATTGACAGCAGCTCAGGAGGAAGCTGCCCAGACTAGGGCTGAAGAGCAAAACTTCAGCTCACAGACAGCACAGGAGGTCCCCAGCTGCATGCAAAGCCTCACCAAGGGGTGCAGCAGAACCACAAACAGCTTCCTCTTCAGCTGGTACCAGGAACTTGCCGGGAGGCCACAGGGCCCAATCACAGCAGTTTGGCAGGCAGGGCACCCAGGAGTTCTGCTCAGAGAGGAAGAGCTATAATGGCGGTAAGACCACAGGAGAAAATCCTCTCTCTCTGCTGGGGTTGCCTCTACCCAGATGTAACTTCTGAGGGTGAAAACTGCCATATAAGTCTTTATCTGAAAGTCCTGCCTGCAGTGCCAGCAACAACAGCCTTACCTCTGGGGTGCACACTGTAGCACTCAGTGAAGGAGATGCAAGCAGCAGTGAGCAGGCAGCTCTGGATGAGGGATAATAAACAGGGGATTCAGAGGGCTGTCAGAAGAGGTTCTACAGAGGCAAAAGCCCAACTCCCTTCAGACTAAAGTGGCAGCACCAAAGCAGTGCTTTAACAGGAAACATGAACTCCCAGATGGGTAACATTTGAAAACAGTGAATCCTGGTGACAGCAAGAACCCTCAATCCCTAGCAGATTTGCAGCTGATAATCTAAAGACGGTCATGACCGCGGCAGCAGAGAGAGGATAAAGGAGTTCTGCCCAGTCCAGAATATTTGCTCAGTACATCAGATCAGGCCAGCAATGCAAAAAGAAAGAATTTCAGTGGCAGGAGATTCCTTCACATACAGGAAAGAGGGCAGACCTGCCTATCAGAGCTCCTGCCCAGGGAAGTACATTTTTTTGTTTAGAGCCTGCCTTGATGATGCTGTGGAGACACCACCAAAGCTTGTTTGGCCTATCATGGATAAAAAGACTCCCTAGAAAGACAGGATACAAGTAATTTTTTTCCCCGATCTACATAAAAGAGTTTCTGACTGCACAGGAGCTCCAGTACAAAACCACATATGAATGCATCCCATATGCCTTTTATTTCAGTGGCAGGAGATTCCTTCACATACAGGAAAGAGGGCAGACCTGCCTATCAGAGCTCCTGCCCAGGGAAGTACATTTTTTTGTTTAGAGCCTGCCTTGATGATGCTGTGGAGACACCACCAAAGCTTGTTTGGCCTATCATGGATAAAAAGACTCCCTAGAAAGACAGGATACAAGTAATTTTTTTCCCGATCTACATAAAAGAGTTTCTTGACTGCACAGAGCTCCAGTACAAAACCACATATGAATGCATCCCATATGCCTTTTAAGTCAAGATCAGGTCAAGAACAGAACACTAGGAATATGGAAACCACCTAGCCAAGAAAAGGTGATAAGGCTACCTGTGAATAACCGCACAAGACATCATCATTCACATCAGAGTTTTCAGTTCTGGGCACACACTCCAGGATGCTCCTTAATTGTATTGTAAATGGTTTCCTGGTGCAAATGATAGAAGAGCCAGACAGGATTAGAGTTCTCCTTGACCCACTGCTCACAACAAAAAACGGAGAGCAAATAGAGAAAAAAATGGCATCTTGAGCTCTAGTGAGCATGAGGTAACTAAGTTCAGGACACAGAAGGAGGCTGGGAAAGGAAGAAGCAAAATTAGGACTGAATTTTAATGAAGCAGACTTTGACTTACTTCAAGAATTGCAGGTTAGAATACTCTGGGAATCAAAGAGGGAAAAGCACCCAGAAGAGATGGCTGATTTATAAAGCAAACTTAACAGTGTGCAAATGAACTACCCCATTTGCACAGGAATACTAGCACTTCCAACAGAAGGCACACCCAGCTAAGCAGAGTGTCTTAATTCATTAAGACTCAGAAAGGAAACACAAAAAGTAGAAACAAAGAGTAGCAACAAGAGAGATAAAACAGTAGAACAAAAAGTAGGAAGACCAAAGCGCAGCTGGAGCTAAGACTAACAGGACATGCATTCTTGGGTGCATTAAGAAGCTGGTAGCCAGTAAGTCAAGGGAGGTTATCCTCTCCCTCTATTCTGCCCTGGTGACGCCATGTCTGAAATAGTGTGTCCAATTCCAGGCTCCTCAGTTCATAAAGGATAAGGAACTACTGCAAAGAGTCCACTGCTGGGCCACAAACATGATTAAACGAATGGAGCATCTGCCCTATGAGGAGAGGCTGAGAGAGCTGGGTCTGTTTAGCCTGGAGGAGACAAGGGGGATCATAAATGCTTAGAGAATGGGTGTCAGGAGGATGGGTCCACTCTTTTCACAGTGTCTAATGACAGCACAAGGGGCAAGAGGAACAAGCTGCAGCATAGGAGGTTCAAGTTAAACATAATAAAAAATTTCTTTACTGTAAGGGTAACAGAGCACTGGAACAGGCTGCCCAGAGAGGTTGTTGGAGACATTAAAAAACCCGTCTGGACGTTTCCTATGTGATCTGTTGTAGGTGATCCTGCTCTAACAGGGGGGTTGGACTAGATAATCTTCAGAGGTTGATTCTAACCCTGACAACTTTATGAGATCAACACTAACAAGAAAGAACTCTACAGGAATGCTACCTGAGAAACAAAAGTGCAGGAAAAATTTGGGTCTGTTGATGGGTGGGAAAAGGAACCAAGCAGCAGACACTGAAGGCTGAAGCACCAGCACCACCTCCACATCAGTCCTAATAGACAATGCCAGGTCCCAAATCCCAGCACTATTCCAGAAATAAAGAGATGAAAAACAGAAGAGAAGCAACAGTTTGGAGACACTTAGAAAAAACTAGACATGCTCAGATGCATCCCAGGATGGGACTCACCCAAGGGTGCTGATAAAGTTTACTGGTATGACTGGAAGGCTGCAGTCTATCATCCATGGAAAACCATGTCTACAGAAGGCTTTAGTGAATTTGTGTTGTGATGTATTAAAATATGCTTAAGATATAATTTCTCTCAAAAGAACTAAATAAAAATATACACAAGATTAATGCAAAAATAGTGTTCTGCATTTCAGTTATTTAGTTGAAGCTACACGGAGAAGTTTCAATCACAGAAGATAATATTGTACAATTAGTGAGATGCAGCTGTTACAGAAAAGCACTTTAAAATCTTATTCCCACGTAATTAGTGTAACAGATTTGAGGAAAAAAGTAATAGATGGAAGTTATTAATAAGAATCACATTTAGTGAAACCACTTAAGTGGAAGGTTACCCTGGCTAAAGCTATCTTCCCAGAAGCATTAAAATCTTCACTTAAACAGAAGTGAAATACTATACAAGTAGCACTGATATTTTCACATCATCATCAAATCCATGTTTTTCTGTAATACTTTTGAGCACATCCAGAACTGAAGGAAGCCTACATTTCCATTAGCCTGAACAAGCTACACGGAAGGACTTCTAAAAGCTATTGCTCTCACTTGTCCAATAAGCCTTTATTAAATCTTCCTCATACTTTTCACTTCATAACTATAGTGTCATAGCTCCTTCCCAAATCTCCCTGATGCCAAGAGGTAATTGATTCTGCGTGTCATTTGTATGCAAATCTTCCTTCTACCCCATTTTCACTACTGAACTGCTCGGAAATTTACATTCCATGCTTCAACTTTCATCAAAAATGAGATTAAATCAGATGGTCTCTTTTCACATTATACTCTGAATTGATTCAATTTGAACAATTTCAAGTACAGTGAGAAAACAGTTATTATTGAGTTTGCTCCTCAAACAAGAATGAACTTGTTCTACAATAAAATTTACAGAAAGACTGATGAACTGACCCCAGTATACTGTACAAGCTGGAAATTAATCCAATACCTGTGAATTCACAGATGAGTTTAAATACTAAAGTCAAGATTATGAAAGACTAGCATAAGAACCAAGGATTACTGATTTGATGTCACTTTCTAGAACTTAATTTAACCTTTTAAATTTGCAATGCCAGTAGTCTGGTATTGCTTTCCTTCTAGACAAAACAAGGAAGTTCCCAAACCTGACCTCCCAGGAAGAAGTCCAAAACTTAATATTAAATGTTATTTCTCTGATAAAGAAATACTTTCATTGAAGCACTGACAAAAAAAGACCGAACCACAACAATATGTAAAGGAAAAACCATTACAAAAATATATATGTTCTGATTACATGTAAACTAACTGCTTATACCAGTTTAAATTTTAAAACTCCCACAAAAATGGACTGTGCTCAACTTTAAGATTTGAGGATAACTGGTGTTTAAAAAAGTAACTTTTCTAAAAATGCTTTATCAAGAAGAGAGACTGAGCCTGTTTCAAGATTAAGGACAGCACACTGAGTATCTGAAGGTATCTACTTGTGCTACACTATTTTAATAAGTGCAGACACTCTTAATCCAAAAATGTGCATAAAGGCAACATAGACTTTATTGGTATCTTCTCCATTAATTATATTTCTGACACATACCAGCTAACTAATGTCCTACTAATTAATGCCCTATTCACACGTTCCTAGAATACAAAAAGCAGCATAAACCTTCTGTGGAAGGTTAGTAGAAGCACTATGAAGAACTGCAATGTTGTTGCTTAGTGGATAGGAAGATCTGTATGTGACAGGAGTGCTATGCAAAATTGTAAAAGCACCTTAGAGAATACAATGCCTTGAACCAAATTCATTCTACAGTGAAATGAATGCTAGCCTACCTCCTACAGCACAAAACTCAGATATACATTGCCTAATCCATGCAGGTAATCTTCAGGCTAAAGCACAGAGAAACCAGGGTCCCACCTCCCTGCTCACCAGTGCTCTGGGGAAACTGTGTTGTGTAACCAGGCCCAATACAGGCAAAGCCAAATGTGCAAAGTGGAGAACTTGACCATGCTGTGTAACAAGCGAAGATGAAAGAAAAAAATAAATCAAGCAGCCAACAATAGTAGTGGCCTGACTGAAGAGAAAAAAACAGGTACTTTGTGACCAAAAAGACAACCTTGTCTTAAAAAAACAAAAGAAAACAAAACCTCAAAAGGAATTGCTAAGCACTTACAGGCCTTGAAATACGAAGTCAGCTCTAAGTTCTAAATACTGTTATATAAGCCTAGCTTTAGTTTTGAAGAAGGTTATTTTGAACTTTGCAAAAAGAAATAAAACAAAATTTTTAGATTTCCCACAGAACCACAGTTGTAAGCACATATTTTGTTTCATTTAGTCACTATCTCCAGGCTGTTAAACTGACTATTTTTCTTATTCATTCAGAGCTCCTATCAGATAAAAGTTTAGGCTTCAAAGATCCACCACTACTTGTTCATGTTCCTAATAAAGAGGTGACAGCAAGAAGACTTCACTGTCCTCACATACAACCAAGCTGCAGTGTCCAAGCTACCACTTACCAATTGCTAGGCCATCACTAAAATTGTGTAGTCCATCTCCCATAATCACCATCCATGCTAGAGTTGCTATCCCAGCATCCTTCAGTTCTTCAAGTGAGTAGCGTTGACTGTGACTGTGGGGATGATGGTTCTGATGATGATGGTGATGCAGAATATGATGGTAGTCGTGGTGATGATGACTAAGATGATCTGTCTGTCCTAGAGTATCGTGTAAGTGAGAATGACATTTGTTTCTACAGCCCCTGGAAGTGTATTCATTGTCAACCTCCTCTCGATGAGAATGAGCTATCATCACTTCCTCCTCTTCTTGTACAATTGGCTGCTGAGAGATGAAGGGCGATGGATCTTGAGAGTCTGTCCCTAGATAGCCCTCAGGCCCTGTTACAAAAACACAAGGGATAATATTACACATTTTTTAAAATCACCTAGGAAGCAAAGATACAGTAAAAAAGTTGAATACGTGAGACAGAAAAGAAGAAACCAGTAAGTCTAGCAGTTGAGACTAATACCCCAGCTTCTGGTAACACAAAGTTGTTTTGTTTCCCCAGGGTTTCCACAATTTATCTTTAATCACATTTCTGAGATAATTGCCAATAGTTCAAAGTAAGAAGAAAACCTGTAGCTTCTGTTCCTTACTACTGAAGCAGCCCCTACATTACAACCACAAATGCCTGCTCTAAAAGGTAGAAAAAAAGCTTTTAACACAACAGCATAAGGCTCTACGTCCCAGTTTCAGAGAATGAAGGCTGTTAGTTCAATTGCTTCACAAAGCGTCTGGAAAGCATATGCCATTTATTCATCTTAGGGCTGAAGAAAAAGAATGCAGAAGAGATTTATGTAAACTCCTCTATTAAAAATACAGGAGTTTATTTTTCAGTTGTTGAAAATTAAACACTCAAAAAAGAGTCATCAACGTAGACCATGAAACCTCCTCATATAAACATGAGCGTCACATGAAGGTTAGATACTTTAACTCCTAGAACTTGCTAAATTATTCCCCTGCAATTAAGTGAACACTTATTTTTTGTGCTGTACCAACAGCTTCTATTCGTCACAACATTCTGAAAAAAACGAACGTCTCAGCTACAAAAGCTAGCAAGTGAGGTGTTTTGGCTTACAACATGATCTTGGGGACATGTGATCATTTGCAATCCAAATACTTCAAGTAAACTCTAGGATTTTAGATTATCAACATTATAGCTAAATAAATAACAAAAGATAGGAAAAAATACTTAAGATATATAGGAATCTAAGTAAGGGATCACACAAAACATTTAACAGTCTAAAGAGAGTTATAGAAACCAGTAGGTACAAAAAATGGTTAATTCATTACTTCGAACCTACTGATCCTTTTTAAAGGAAAGCAGCAAACAGAGCTAGTCCTCTACATATCAATGCACAGACAGGTTTTGTTTTGAAAAGAATATAGGTAGCGATCCAACCTACAGTACGAAGCAGATCTATGAGCTATTAATTAGGTGGGTTTTTTTTAAACAGCACTGCCACAAAATAACAACATGCAATATTGCTGAGACTTACGATCGTCTGCATCTAACTTTTCTTCATTTGCTGAGAACTTCTTACTTTCTCCATCATCTTCATTTTTTTTCTTATTCCAAAAGAAAATACTGTAGTTATGAATATTTTACTTATTTTTCAGGATATACATGAGTAATTATATTCACAACATTCATGCAGCCTGTACAGAAAGAGGACAACATGGAAGCTATATAGAGCACAGAAGAGGAACATTAGAAACTCATTTAAGTCCAATACAAAGGTTCCTCAGGCTCAAGAAGAAGAAAAAAACAACCAAAATCCAAACAAACCCACACACATACATGCATGAATACCCCACACTTCTGAACAAGAAATAAGCAGAGGTGCCCATCTGAGAAGCAAAACACATCAAATACTTAGTAAAATTTATTCCACTGTTCTTTCCATTGTAGTGCCATTTATTTTTTCCAGCATACTGAAGAAAAATCAGGTAAAACATGTAACTGTTGCTCACTAATGTTTGTACCACAATTTATAATGAGTGATTCAATATTTAGAAAGGCACAGTTAGTCTAAGAGGAAATCTATTCCTAGTGGCTGAGAGAAGGACACAGAAAAAACTTGCTTTGCTTGGAATTCTTCTTCATGTCCCCTTTGGCAAATTAATGTAACTAGAAATAGGAAAAGTGATCCTCTATTGCTCACAATCAGTTTAATTTCAGTAAAAACCACACCAACACAACCTCCTGTGACCAACATCAAAGAGCTTACAGTGCCTCTGCTCCAAGACTGCTGCCTTAATGACCAACACTAAAACTAAAGAGAGATTATCAGTCATTGAGGTAGCCTAGAAATTAGCTACTTTTCAGCTAAGTAATTTACTAGCTTTCTTCAAAACAAAGAAGATATTAAGATATTGCCAGCTTTTACTCTGATTTTTTTGCCAAGTCAACTTTTACGTTGTTGTTTATTCCTGCCTACACTAGCCTGTAACAACTGTATGAGGCTATCTTATCAGAATCACCTTGAGATGTAAGCAGGAAGTTAATAATGAACAGTAGTTTCTTAAATCACTCTGTTAAAACAAAGGGCACTATTAGATGTTTCCTTATTAAACAATCTACTGTTGTGTTAAGCCTGTGCTGTATGTTTGGTTAAGGAAATAGCTCAGAGGTCTTCCATAGCAGGACCACACAAAAAGTTACGATGTAATTTAAAAGTACACATCACTAATAAATGAGATTATAACACTAATCAAGTCAGCAATCACTATGAAATCCAGACAGATAGATGATACTCAAGTCTGTTTAAAAGTGCATTCAGAAATGATCATGCAATACAATGTAACTTCAAAATAATAGTTTCTCTACCTTTTTCTTCTTGTCTTTAAACTGCTTTATTAAAGTGATCAAATGCTCCGCTAGAAACATGAAATACAAGCCTCCAAGTGCTGTAAGTCCCTTCCATGTAGAATCCAGGTAATTACTCTCCTCCGTGCTTTGAAAAATGAGATTTTTGAACATAGAGCCTTTATTTTGTTCAACCAGAGGCTTCTCGTGGTGATGGTTTCCATGAGACTATGGAGAGAACCCAATGGGAAAGTCATCATATTAAAAATAAACTGTAACATAAGAAACACAAAGTATTCTTCACATTCTTTCCCTCAGGTCTGGAGTCCAGACTTAGCAATTTTCATGAGGTAAATGCGCTGGTTTCAAACTGAAACAGTTATGCATAAATCTGTTGATAGGCAGAGGCACTGCAAGGCCTGGTGTTCATCCCCTCACTGCAGCTACATCCCTACCACTCCACACAAGATGCACAAGTGCCCCCCTTGACACCAAAAAGGAAACTGCATTTTAAGTAGTCATCACAGGCAGCACACCTATTATTTCCCATGTAAAACTGCTCATAGACACCAAACAGCTTTTTCTACAAGGAACTTGAAAATAGTCTTCTTTAAAGGAAGTCTGACATTCAACCTCTCTTCACTGGCTACTCTTATGTTTAGAATAAAAAAAAAAACAAACAACAAACTTCTAGGACATCTTACTCACACTTTTATATTTACATAACCTCACAGAGCAAATGCAAGTGTAACTGGCAGGAAGAACCCCCTGATGAATGACAGGCAGGGCTCAGAAACCACCTCAGGATCTGCAGTCCTTTTGATCCATCTTATCTAAACTCTGGAACAAGTTACCTTTTCTGGTGCTGAGGGAGGGAGAGAGTGGGGCAGAGGTAATATCTATTTAAGGGCTTCAAGAAAGCTAGAAATTTAGTAATTTCATTGTCCATATTACATAACAACACTACATGTAACTCCAAAGTATATCAAGTAATGCTTTTCCAGGACTTCAGAAATGCTTGACTCCAATAAAAAAATTAATATGGATAAGCAATCAACATTGGTGGCTGATAACAGAAAATACTGGAATCTCTTTCACATTGAAAGTGCATATTTAAATGCAGTAATTTCTGCTATCTATAAAGTTCATTAAACTGGAAAAAGAAAATAGAGGCAACATTGCAGTAAGTGACTAAAAAAAATATGCAAAATTCTTGCAGGCAAGGAATAACAAGTGACTTAGCAGCATTTATGACTGAGAACAGTAAATAGATTGAGAGATAATGGTGTGAAGTTCTTACATTGAAAGGCCTGTGAAATGACTAATACTAACAGTTCTAACTGGGAAACCTTACCATCAGATAATCTACTTTACCAGGCTGAGAAGTGACTCACCAAATAGGTACTAATAGGGATTAAAACACTCACTAAGCAGTACAGGCAGGTGTGAAACATTCTGCTTTGAGATAACGAATGAAACAGTAATTAATACTTACATGTGGAAGGAGATGCAAGAAGGCATCTCCACTCAAAGTTCCCACAGCCAATGCCACAAGAAAACTTAGAAGAAATTTGAAAAAGACACGATTCATCAGCGGTACCAATATAACACCCAGTAAGGAAAGAAAGCTGATGACAGAGATGGATATAAAACCACCAATCCAAGCTGGGGAAATAAGAAAAAAAAGTAACAACAGTAAGTAACAGCTGTATGAGATTTTGATGCTTAACATTCCTGTTATCAATCACACCTGATCATTTGATTAATTGGATGTTAATAAATGGTACACCACACCTCAAAAATTACTCTCTAGACACAGTCAAGTGCCAAAAGAAAATTACAAATTTCTTTCCACTTTGAAATATATTTCTCAAATGTATAACTACCATAAATAGGTTTCCAGTAATCCTTTATTCCGTGTTAAAAAAGTAACCTACCTATTCGCAGAGAGTAACTGTCTGAAGGATGTTCAGCTTTTTCACTAGTTGCATGGACTATACAGGATTTGCCATCGATCTGATTAATAAGAGCTGGACATAGGTAACTGAACTCGGTAGGAGTCAACAATACTTGAGTGCCTATTCCATGAGACTGCATAAGTTTTGATGCACTGGAGCACTGTGAAAAGACACAAGTGTCAAAAGATTAACTAGAACCAAAATACCATTATATATATCAAGAGGACTGCACATCCCATTTTAAGTGAAATGCAGAGGCATCACAGGAAAACAGCTGTATCAACAGCAATTAAAAACTGGTAACAAAGCAACTAGGAACCGTACCTCCCCCCCCCCCCCCATCTGGCTCACACAGCTAGTTCAAGAATCCTGGCAGATGAGGCATAATTATCACTCACTTTCAGAACAAAGGGGTCAGATGCCTTGCTGTGCAAGTAGGAAAAGGCTGACATTTTTCACTTAGTTTTACAGGCTATATAAGGAAGTAGTAAGGAGGTCAAATATCTTTTCACAGAAGTGATTACTTATGGAAAGTCTTGTACAGATCATGTCACACATGCACTTCCCTCAGTGACGATTTCCCCACTGAATGACGTCCAGTCTCTCTAGATTTCAATCACAGGAGCACTTCTGCTCCAACTGAGCAGAACACTGAACAACTTGTGAATTCAGCACCTATGATCACATGCCACACGACACCCACTCCAAGTTATCTGGCATGGCTGCATACATCAAGACCCCAGCTTTTTAAAGCCCTTAATGGAAAAGGATCTGATTGTGTAACGAAACTGTACACAACACAACTATGGTGTTAACTGCGAGTTTTTACTATTTTAAAGGAACAGAAAACGTTTTGCACCCATCTTTCTCACAATTGCATATAAAGAGGATAGAGGGAGGGGGCTGAAGGAGGAAGATGCCAGTTACTTCTGTGCAAAGCTGCACTACCTGCCATAAGATCATCTAACACTTGTGGAGCAGCTTTGATAAGAATGACAGTATTTTAACTAGATTTTTTTATCTTCACATTATTAGGAAAACAAGATTCTGGCAGGGCTGCAAGTTTCAAATTTGAAAAAAAGTGTTTATGATTTTTAGTAGTATTTAAAAATTACACCAAAAAAACCCACCAAACCTACAAGTATGTTTATACTTAATGTAAATACATTATTTCTTTTTAGGAAAAAAAAAAAAACACAAACAAAAAACTAAATCACATATATGTTCTTCTCTGAGCTTGTGAACATAACATACCTTCAAAATGTTCAAGTTTCAAGGAAAGTTGTGTGCATCTTGCTATAAGTACCTGACAAATAAGCCATAACAACATTCCCAGTGGATCTGAATTCCCAAGAAAACAAAATAATCGGTCTCACCTCCTGGGTATTTTGCTTTTTCAGTTTAGAATACAGGTAACTTCCTCTTTCTGATTCCTTGGGAGAAGCACGAGACTCATTGGCTTTGCTGTTGGCAAGCCAGCTTGCATTGTTTCCACCTGTGACATTGATGCCATTAGAGCTAGTCTGACCTACACGGGCAACCAGCTTGGCTTCCCCAGGCTGCACATTCTGCAACTCAGAGTGGCCATCTGTGGGAGCAGTGATGATCTCATTAGCCGTGTTCTTGCTGCGTACAAAGTTCTGCTGATGTTCCACATTCTCTACCTTATGAGGTTCCTTCGAGCGACTGCTCCTGTGGTCTTTGCTAGCCTCAGATTCATGATTTGGACAAAGAGTCTTCTCCGTATTTTTACTCAAAGAAACATGATTATGATGAAGGTGGTGGTCATGGTCGTGATCACGGTCTATTTTGATCCGTTTCATTTTATCTATGCCGATGTTCTGGAGTAGTTTTCTAAACCCGTCAACTGAGAGCGAGTTGTTTTCTCCATAACGATGGAAAAGTTCTTGGAGGTGAAACTTCTGTATTAACCCTGCCAAGTCAATATTAACACAAGCTGCCTTTTCTGGAAAAGTTCTCTCTGATGTATGCACAACAGTAGCTGTCTCCAACCCATTATAGCATTCAGACAGTAGTATGGAAAATGACACAAGGAAAGCGACCGATATTGCGCTCTCCATTGCAGGTTCTTTTGCAGGAAAAAAATATCTAGAAAACAAACCAAAAAAAATTAGCAGTTTGGATACAACCGATCACATCTTGCTCTGCAACAGATGTTTGTAATTTGTTTTAACCAAAAAAACCCACAACAAACCCTGCTCAAAGAATCAATGCAGTAAGAGAAAAGCCATGCTTTTCACGTCCAGTGTTTTTCCCAATCATGTGGCCTCCGACAACAGGAGGTGAAGCTGCAGCAAGATCAGTGGCTATAAACACCACCCCTCCCTGGTGCAAGCTCACCTTTGTTTGGCTTAGCTCGAGTCACTTTCCTAAGGCAAGCTTAGCAACGAGAGAGAGCATCCTCAAGGCTGCAACAACCGAGCTCTAGTTTAGGCTTTTATGGTGCTAAACCCCCCCCCCAAACTTTATCATTTCACTCTTGGCAAATAAATCAATACTACGCATTACATTTTCCTACTTAAAAAGCAGAATTCCAAATCTTCCATGGCTGGATTTGCCAGAGCTCTTGGCAAGCCAGCACTCCACCAAAATTTTTCACACTGTCACATTGTAGCTGTGTTTTACCACCGCTGTTATGCAGCCCCTTCCACTAACCAGGCAGACCACTGCTTCTGGCTTAGTGTTCACGAGCGAGAGGCTTGCGTGATTTATTCCACAAGAGCTCCAGCAAGGCTATGCATTAGCTGGTGTTCAGGCCGCACGCAGGAGCAGGCCAGAGGGCTGCCGCAGCCCTTCCTCAGGGAAGCACAGAGAACATCACGCAACACATAGAACTTCATACTTTTCAGTAAGACTATAACCAGCCGTAAGAGCCCAGCACCACCGCCGGGACCAGCAGCAGCAGCAGGAGTGCTGCGGCTCCCC